TAGCCGGAGTTAAACCACGACACGACCTCCGTCTGAAACCCCCCACTGGAGTCACACGGCCTGTCAGGGAACAGGATGAGCGCATCTGAGCGACCGATTTCAAAGCATCCCAGTGAGGCAGTCAAGGGCCCTACCTTTAACTCTCTTGGAGGATGCCAAGAGAAGATGGTCTTCTGGGAGAATGTGAGTTATAATGCCAATAGCACGTTCAGCATGGAACCTGAAGAGTTTAAATAAAAAATTCTATGTATTTAAGGTAGCAGCTGACTGATAAAGTATTAGAAACATTCATGCAATAAACAGATGCATTTAAATTCTGATTAAAAATGAAGAACATTTTGTCTCCATTTACAGTACCCAATTTGCTGCCAGTACCTCAAACAACTGTACTCACAGTGCATTGTCAAATTTTCCAGAGCTGTACTGGTGAACATACGAAGAGTAAGCCAAGTCTTCATGAGCTGTAGCTACATGTATGTTTTTACCTCCAAACACTGACTGCCGGATATCAAGAGCTGTCTGAAAGAGTTACAAAGCACCATTTCATCAGCTACACAGAAAAGCCCCAAACAAATCTCCCTCAAAAAGGGGGCAGAAGACAATCTACGGGCTCTGAAATTCTGGAGGTCCATCCTACGTACTCGAGGTAGTAGATGTACAAAAGGCACGTAAGAGTCAGAGAAATTAAAGAACCCAAAACCCCATAGTTGGGGTGTTTGGGTTTTTTGCAGCAATTAAATCAATTATGATCCACCTCCACGAATTAACTGCACATGAGTTTCAGTAGGAACACCTGAGAGATGATGAGCAACAACAGAAACCACAGACAGATGTTTAGTGCCACTGCATACCTGGTAGATTGCAACAGACTGGCATATATTGTCCACGTTGAGCAAGTAAAAGCCATAGTCCAGCAGAGTATCGGAGTATTTGGGGTGCTTGGCTCCAAAATGCTCCCTGCAGAAACACACTCACGTCACAAACTAAGGCGAGTTAAGTGCCGTTTCAGAAAGGTTCTTTTGGAGCGCTCCTTACCGGGCAAGGTAAACTGCATGTTTTATCAGCTGCTCCGCCTTCTTAAATTCACGTTTTACCACACAAGCCTGAAGAGGTGGAAACGCAGCAGGTGAAAAGGTGAACACTCAGAACTGCTCCCCCCAGACACCAGCCCAACTGCTAACTGCTGGTTTCAATTTCAAATTATCACCACAGTTACTAAAGGACAATTCAGTTATTTATGAGAAGGTTTACCGATAACATTAGTAAACTTGTATTTTATTCTGCCACAAAGGCTTAACTAAAGGGCTAGTAGGCTAGCACTGTACCTAGTCTGGATCAAACAGGGAAGCAGACCATCTTGCCATGGAATGCTCCCAGGGTAACTTTGTCAGGACATTCAAATCAACAGCTGTAACTCAGTTTCAGAAAGAAAAACCCCAAACCCCCACAGGTCCGAGACCGAGCTGGACCGCTTCAGTGGCTCACAAAACAGACCTGGTTTCCCAAGTGCTCTGGAGGTACCACCCACCCTCACCTGTTCTTGGTGGCAATTCAGTTACAAGAGAAACACGGAAAGTTTTAAATTCACCTTCGAAGCTTGTCGTAACACATCCACTACCACTTTTACAGGCAGGCCAGCTGTGATCTCCTTCATCGCTTCTATACACCACTTATAAGCCTGTCGAACAAAGAGGCGCCAACGTGATGCAGCTGCAACTTCGCTACGTTGCAACATTAAGAATGTTACTCGGCTCTGAAAACATACACTGCTCATTTACATTACAAAGCTTTTAAAAATACTGTTTAATGGCTGATGTGTAATGAAATCGGCTGTGTCTTAAAAAACAGACTTATAAAATGCTTACTTACACCTTCAATATTAACCTTAAGAGCCGTTTTTGCTAGCCTGAGATATCTATTAATTACAATGACTTTTACAGACAGTGTTTTATAATCTTTAAGCAATCCTCACAATTCCTGTTGTATAGGACAACTTCCTGGTCAGTGTCCTTCGGAGCTGCAGGAAAACTGCAGTTTATACAGCAGATAAGCTTAAGACACAGTTTTTATTAAAAAAAGTGCAAAGAATTATTATCTGTGTGCTGCTGCTAATTTTTACCTATTAAAATGAGCTTTTTCTGGTATTTCGTTTACAGGTGACCAACACATCCTACCAATCCACCACACATATTTCTTAATGCCAGACAAAATAGTGTTAACTCGGAATGGTGCACAGAAAAAAAGGTAACAAGTAAGTATTTCTCTGGTACTGCCACGCAGGTACCAAGAAAGCTGAGGAACTGCAGCTCGAAAGGCAAGGGGAGCAGTGAGCCGGTCACAGAACTGAGATCAGCAGATGTCACCAGCAGATCTCTGAAGAAAAACAAAAGCGAACCCCCTCACCTCATCGTAGTGGCTCTTGGCAAAGAGCAGCGCGCACAGCTCCCCGTAGAGCGCCGCTTTGTTCGCCTGCTGACCGTGTTTGGAAAGTTTGTCCATGTAAGACTGAGCCAGTTTGAAGGTTTCTTCTCCCAAGTGGTATTTACAGTTACCGTTCCGAACGTGCAGCAACCTTCGGAAGACGTAAAAAGAGATGCTCTGAATGGTGTCCCGTAAACCGTTTCGATACCCGGCGTGTCGGGGATCTACAGTTTGGCATTATGCTTACAACGGGACTGGGCTGCCACCCCAGCAGCCTGCACCGTGTGAATCCAGTTCCACAGAGGAGCTGTGTACAGCTACTGTTCCAGCACGCCACGCTTTGTCTCTTGCACGGCAAGGACTTTTACTGTTGGAGACGTCAAATGATTTACAGACTGATGCGCTTGGCATATCCAGTGCCTGAACCACTGTGGTGTGGTGGCTTTGGGTCTTACTTTTCATATAAATCCATTCTTCTCAATGCTGATAAAATGCCATTTCCAAAAGCCTGTAATCTACAGTATTAAATCCCTTCTACCTCCTTCCCAAAGCGTGGTAAACCGAAACAGACACCACGTAAGTACAGGTACAACTACTGCTGCACCTCTGCCCTTTCTCCTTCAACCTTACGCTGCACAGAGCTTCACAAGCGGGCAGGTATTGGTTTGGGAGCACAGAGGAGGAGATTCACAAGAGGGTCAACCACATCCGTTCAACATGACATCCAGCGCTGACTCAGCACCACCAGAGAAGAGTACTCGGTTGACCCAGCTCACAACCACCGCCTTGCCCCATCTCCTAGCCCGCTGCCTTCCCATCCAGCAGATTAACAGAAGCTTCAGGAAGTGACAGCCCAACACAGACAATGAAACAGCACAATGGAGACACACTCCTATTCAGCTTCAGTCTCCTATTTACAACAACAACACGACGGTTTTGTACGCGTAAGCTGACGCTTCTTTGAAGAGATACACGAGAAATGTGTGTGCTGGCGTATTCCAAGCCTGAAGGGTGGAATCGTATTCGTGCCCACTGCAGGGTAGGAAGAGACAGCAGTCTCCTCCCTTCAGCAAAGGCCTGCCATTTAGCACATGTGAAGTTTTGGTGAATGAACCTCCATCGTCCCTCCTGGAAACCTGTTATTAGACAATGAGTAATAGAGATGGAAAACCATCAGGCAAGCCTTTCCAGACCAGGAGGCCAACATAAGGCAGGAATAGAAACACACAAAGGGAAGCAGAAGGCGGGAGCTGTGTATAAAGGAGGCTCTGGGGAGACCTTATAGCACCTTCCAGTACCTGAAGGGGCTACAAGGCAGCTGGGGGGGGACTTTTTACAAGGGCCTGTAGTGACAGGACAAGGGGTAACGGGTTTAAATTGAAAGTGGGGAGGTTTAGATTAGACATCACGAAGAAGTTCTTCCCGGAGAGGGTGGTGAGGCACTGGGACAGGTTGTCCAGAGAAGCTGTGGATGCCCCATCCCTGGAAGTGTCCAAGGCCAGGCTGGATGAGGCTTGGAGCAACCTGGTCTAGTGGAAGGTGTCCCAGCCCATGGCAGGGGGTTGGAACTAGATGGTCTTTGAAGACCCTTCCAGCCCAAACCGTTCTGTGATACTGCAGAGAGGCTGAAGCTCTGAAAGCGTCAGCTAATGTACAGGTACAGCACTTTATACCTACACACGATCCAGTATGACAGCTCTTCCAGTGAAATGTTAGGGAGGAGGAAGGAACAGTGAGGTGTCTGATCAAATGTTTCCTCTACATCTGAGGAGAGATTTGTAAGTCCCTGTGGCCTTCTGCAACAGCAGACCAATACATCTGAGCGTGTCCCGTGATGCCCTGCCGAGACGTCTCACAAAGCTCCACACGCCAACAAGGAAATACAGTTCACGTGTTCACAAGAAGGGAGTGGCAGGCAAGCACACAGCAGATGCGTGTTAGCCTGGCAGAGAGAAGAGCAAAAGACAGACCTTCAAAAGACCCCTGCACCGAGCTACATAAACATCAGCTTTCCAGTGAGAAGCACAGCCACGTGGCTCGAGAACAGAAAGGAGACAGCAACAGCCACGTTTTTCCTTCAGTAATTCTGAGAACTACACACAACGTAGAAGCGCACTGTGCTCTCGGTGACAGGCAGCAGAAAACTAACACTAAAGCAATGAGAGACAGGAACTGTAAAAACACTAGAAAGTAAAACCAAGCAATTACAGTCTCCCTAAACAGGGAAACTATTTTGCCTGTACCATTCAACTGGGAGCTGCTATGTAACATCAAACCCACGAAGCCTAAATCCCATGGAATGGTGTAAGCCAGCAGGGACAGCACTGCAATTTAGATAAGTGCCTGGGAAAGATAATATCCAGCATCTGGATGCTCCAGAGACAGTGTCTAAAAACAAAGAACTTGACCAAAAACGCACGCTAAACCCAACCCAATCCTCTAGGATAAGCTGAGTTTATGTCATCCAGTTTTGAGTAACAAAATATCCTTTATTAATCCAAAGGAATTTTAGAAGATAAAGCCAAGAGGAAGAAGAAATGCCTTAGGACATTTATGCTAATAGCTCTGATTCTCCTTTGATGTCTGCAGTAATGGCTTTGGGGAACAACTCACCCCCCCCGCCAAATACAGTCCTCTCAGAGTACACAAATGTGGCAAAGACACTGTTACACAGCAGCTTCGGAAGGCTAAAAAAACATCAGGAAAAAAAACCAGGATTCAGCAAAATGTGAAACAATGAAGTGGGAGAACCACATATTTGGAATGTGTGTTTGTGCCTTATTGTTTAACCCGGAGTAAGAAGAGAAAGCACACCCCAAGGAGCTCAGCACACCCGGACAGTAGCGTGCAAGCTTGACAAAATTTCACATCTCTCAACTGTCTCAAGTTTCCCCGTATCATTTACTACAAATAAACACAAAACTATGTTTAAGCTACACAAAATTTTACTTCTTTTAAACCATACTGTATTAATAATGCAATGCATTAAACTTGCAGACTCTGTAGCTTTTAGAATAACAGCATTTTTTTTTGTGTCATATTTTCAAAAGCTGGACTTAAAATTCTGTTCTCTTAGAAGTCCACCTGAGTCACCCAGTGCAAGCACAGAGGTGAGAACAAGGTATCAGAGCAGGGATCTGACGGTAACAAGAAGTTTACCTTACTGCCTCGTGCTGAGTACAATTACTGCTCTCTCCCAAAAAGGGTTTCAGATTTTACATACTTGGCACTTCCAAAAGGGTTTTAAATTCTATTTGATACATTCCCAACTGAGCGACACTGTTGATCCCTTGGGAGATGCTGAGCACAAAGCAGCGTCTCCTCCCTCACACTGCTGCCCAGAGGGACCCAACACTACACGCAGCCATCAGCTTTCCTTCCCAGAGCAGAATGAACACCTCCCCTCCCGCAGCACTCATCCTAGCCCAAGATCTTTTTCTAGCACAAAACGATGCCCCATCCCTGGAAGTGTCCAAGGCCAGGCTGGATGAGGCTTGGAGCCACCTGGTCTAGGGGAAGGTGTCCCTGCCCATGGCAGGGGGGTTGGAACTAGATGGTCTTTAAGGCCCCTTCCAGCCCAAACCATTCTATGATTCTATGACACTCCTTCCACAGCTGGGTGGGCTCCATGCTCCTGCCCAACACAGAGTTACCTTTTTTCCTTTCTTCACCTTCCCCTCTCCTTTTTGTTTCCCAATATTTGGAGACAGGGAGGGAGTTTATTTTTAGGGCCCCCTCTCCAGCTTGCCAAACAGCCCAATACACCTAGGAAACTTTTTTAAGATTAATTAGAATGCACAGGACCAAGTACTGTATTATTCCCCAGTCCTAGGAAGGTGTACATGTGTGCCCAGTCTTCTCCTGGCACCACCTCATTGCTGGAATGAAAGCCAGCAGGAGCTGGCAGGGCAGCACAAGGCAGAGCAGCAACCGTTACCGCGACCCTCTGGTTGGCAGACAAAATACGCAGCTACAGGCAAAGCCTATTTGCTCTTCGTATTTGTCCAACCATAAAACAAGAGGCAGGCTCTTCTGGAGACGTTCTGGCAAACAATTCTGCCCTATATCCAGATAAACACAGTGCGTACCTCACTTCATTACAGCAGCTAAAAAAAGAAAAACCCCATTTTAACGACACTGGCTTGCAGACAGGTATTCAAGCACACACCTGTGGCACACTCAAGAGGTCAGTCGTGGTGCTACCAATGACAACCACCCGGCCGCTTCTGCAGACCGAGCTGCTGGCTGGGAGCAAACAGGACAAGACCTTATCAGCACGGCACACACCTAGATACACAGGGGTAAGAGCAGAGCAACTAAGAGCTAAAATCTTTGCGGCCTCTGTGAATGGAATCTCAGTGGACCCCACTGCAGGCCTTGAGAAACAAGGCAGGTACAAAACCCAAATGCCTCCTCAAAGCAAAAATTCTTTTCCAGCTATTTAAGCTGTGGCTGAAGGTGTTCAAAAGCACTGGACGTCTAGGTGTTTGCCTCATCACAGAATGAAGTAGCTCAGTATGGACCAAGAGAACTCGCTGGATCTGGAATCAGGAAAGGCACGTTTGCCTTTTATTTCTGCTCAACTTTATTTACATCATTTGTGTTTGGATTTGGCAAATTCATACGGTAGTATATTTAACTTCAGTAAACATCAACACATAACACTTTCACATGCAAAAACCCTTGAAAAACCCAAGGTGCTGTCCCACTCCTACTGTCCCACACCCATTATCTACGATATTTTATGCAGAAAGGCAAAACGGTGGGGTTTTTCCCCACTGTTGCCAGATTACAAGTTGAAAACCCAGGGGTTAGTCTAAAACAAGCACCTCCTCATCCTCAGCTCTAGCCAGGAAAGCACTTTGGCGCAGCAGAGCACTAAAGGGAACATCAGGAGCTTACTGGCTGCAAGGCAGCTGGTAACACACTGATGTGTACTTCACAGGAATGAAAGGTGAGCTCACCTTACGCAACATTCTACGGCTCGAAACCAATGAAGGATTTCATCATGAAGGGTGCATAACTGCAGGCAGGAAAGAAACACCTTCTCAGCATCGCTGTACCAGCCTGCATCTGATAGGAACCCTCCTGGAAAAATCAAGAACAAACAAAAATTTGAACAGCAAAACACCTCTAAAAGAAGGATTTGCTCAGGTCTGGTAAGACTTATTTTACAGAACTGCATGCTACGTATGGGAGTCCCAACAAGGTTAACCCCTTCAAGTCCTGACCTGAAAAGGATAAAATATAGGGGTATTCTCCTTCAGCTGAGGATGATTTTTTGGTGTTAAATAGTTTTACATAATTTTAGTACTGCTAAGTACTTCTTGACAGAAAACTGTAGGAAAGTCTTTATGTTAAGCATCACATCTGCTAACAAACTGTAACTCTAAGACATTTGAAATAGCAAAGATAAGCCTATAATTTCTTAGATATTGATAGTCAATACACTTCTCTTAAGGCACCAAGTAGTTTTCTAAAAGCTACATTCCCAAAACACACGCGTCCTTGAAAAAGAAATCACAGGCGTTAACATGAAACTAAGTTGGCCTTAGCTTGTCTGAAGCTCCTGCGAAGAACGTATCGCGCTTTAAACAGCTCATCATCACCAGTTACCTAAAACAAAACCAATCTGGATTGCTTTTTCTTTGACAGCAGAGTCCGATTCTGCGATGTAGGAGCACCGTCTACTGAAAGAATAGGCCAGTACGGAAGCAACCTTTACTCCATGGTCCATCAAGGCCTGAAAACAGTGATGAAGCAGATGTCTGAAACAAAAGAAAACAGCATTTGGTTACACATGAAGTTTTTAAAACGCTGCAGTCAGTTTTCTCAAGTGCCATGAATTCAAATGAGTACTGATTCAGAGAAATAACTCCAACCCTCTCTCAAACCAAAACCAGATGCATACGAGCATCATTGCCACTCGCAGAGCTAGCGGACTACAGTTGTTGGATTACACAACAAATAAAGTGAGTGTACACCGAGTTCTTTACAAGGACACCCTCCAGTGCAAGCAAAACTCCAGCTACCCACACAACATTCAAACTGGAAAACAACATTTTCAGCTAAAACTTAGAGGGGAGGAAGCCTCAAATCCACCCTCACCCCACAACCCCCCCAGAAATCACTGATAAGCGAGCAGTGACGAACCCATTAACATCACACACGTAAACAGTGGGAGAGAAGTAAGTCTAAAGACCCAGAGCTTATTCTGGTGACCAAGAATCTGATCTAAACCAGCCAAGTTCTGAGTGGTAACACCACAAACTGGCATGTTTAATGACAGGAAAACTCTTTAGGGTGATCCCATCAGTTTGATAACCCTTCACTTCAGATATGCTACAACAGCAAGAAACAGGCACTTTGCCACTGCTCAGGGACTGGCTGGGCACTGCTCAGCTGGTGGGGAGACACTGGCTTCCTTTACATTTGTGCGTTTTCTCCTCTTGGTTGTTTTCTTTTTCCTCTTTTTAATTACTCAATTGTCTTTACGTCAATCCACAAATTTTCACACTTCCCACTTTCACCCTTCCCACCAGGTGAGCGAGGGAGTGAGCAGCTGCGTGCTGCTCAGCCGCCTACCGGGGTTAAAACACCGGACTGGCTGCACAGCCGTAATAAAGAAACGGCTTGGGGAACCAGGCACCACAGGTGGCTCGGTATATTTACACAAAGGTTCCGACTGGTTTACTATGAGACAGAAAGACACAACCTAACTTCAAAGGTCACCTGTAAATCTAATGAGGTATTCTTATGGCTACTAGATGGGTATAAGACCGAGGAAATTAGAGACATCTTCCAAAGTCAGAACCTAGATCAAGAGGTAAGAACTGGAATGAGAATTATCGATGTATTAAGACACTTACCTTTTATCTAAAGCTCGTAGCACCTTTGCAAAAACTTCTAGTTCACAGAATTCACTACCCAGCTGGCACAAGCGGCCCTGTTGGTAAAGCTGAAAGAAAAGTATATATAAATGTTTACATTTCAGACAGGATTCTTCAGGGAAATTTATCTGAATAGTAAAGATAACTTATTGTGAAAACTAGGCTTCAGAGTATTAAAGTACAGCAAACCAAGAATTAATAGTTACGCTGTCTCCACACAGAAGAAACTGAGCACACAAGCTATGAGAACTCCAAACGTGCATTCAAGGGTTGGGTGCTTTTTTGCCATCTATGAATGTATTTTTAAGTATCTATTTCCACCTGCATCATCAAAACACTGCAACGCACAAGCTAGAAAGCCAAGACAAAACCAAGAAACACCCCCAGTCAACAAAAAATATAATTAATAGCTTCTTTGATACCAGATACTTTGAAAGCATTTAAAAATGACACAGTCACCCATCCACCAGTGCAAATAGATTTCATATCATATACAAATAAACCCCAAACCCACAGGCTCAGCAAGGGGTGACTCACCCATACCCAGAGCTGAAGACAGGCACGAGCCCTGACCCTGTTAACAGCTGAGCTTACGCAAGTAATTCCTGCCTAAGTAAATAGGAAAACTCAAGCGAATCCGTTCATGCGTTTATTAAAACGGTGGCTAGTTCTATGCCCCAACTGATTTGTTTCTGCAGACAAGCAAGTGTATCAGTTGATTTGTTCATAAAACGCCAAGCATGAAGGCAGTTCTTCATGTAACACATAGTTAAGCTGCAGAACTATCTGCCACATTATGCCATAAATACTATGAATTTACATAGGTACAAAAGCGACTGTACAAATATATATCAGAAAAATCCACTGCGGGCTATTAATTCCTGATCTCTTGGCCCCTGAACCAGAGGAGACTAAAAGCAGGGTACGTAACCCTAGGAAGCGTGACTATCCACTTGCCATGGCCACAGGTACCACCACCAGCCTCTGCTAGAGCCACAGGACTGGATCGCACCAGACTGTTGTGCTTCAACCATTTATGTTAGCCGCTCTAGAAAAACAGCAAACAGCCGCTTCTCTTAAACCAAAGAACCTGTGTGTGAAGGCAGTAACGCCACGGGGAAGAAGGGAGAAGGCAGCAGCTCGTGTCTCACACCACTTCTCTCCAGACGCTGCATCCTTCCACACAGGCCATTCCAGGCCCATTTCTGGCCTCGTGTGGAATCTGCACTGTGCGCCACAGGGGTCGGAAAGTCGCTGTTTACCAGCAGACACGAACCAGAATACACACCCGAGCCTCATGCCATCGTGAGCATGCGGGCACAGCACTGCTACGCTGCACTCTTCGCAGTTCTCCAGGAACCCCCAATCTCTAGGCCACACGTTACGCGACTCAAAGGCCCGCTGTCCAGGACACGCATGCTCACGCCCACACGAAGACGCTCCAGGCTATCAAAGCAGGTTTACAGCGACGAGGAACTTCAACACGAGGAGTGCAGCTTCCCTTATTACGGATGCAAAAGTAAGGCCGCGAGAACGCATTAAAGATGGTTGATTACAACACACATTTAATGAAAATTTTAATATTCCTCTGTTTTAATGTTTTTAAATACTTTTATTGATCAGCATCTTGTGTCTGGATCACCTTTTTCTCCAGCAACACCAGAAGCAGATGTTCTCAGCATACTTTGTTTTGGTCACCTTTTTCTCCAGCAACACCGGAAGCAGATGTATTAGTATGCAAAACAAAGTATGCTGAGAACATCTCCTCCATCCAGAAATTTAGTTTTAGTGAACTCTTATAAAAGCACACAAGACTGGTTCTACAGCACAGCAAGTTTGTTATTTAACAGCAGAACCTACAAAAAACTTCAAAACCACTCTGACCTAATAATGTCAGTTGCCAGAAATGAATGTTTTCCTTTTAGTCATTTATTTCGATGGTGGGGGGGAAAGGAAGTAGTTTAAAAACCAGCACAAGCGTGCATGCAAAGTTACTGCTCAGCTCAAACACTGCTGTGTCCCTGTACTTCAAAGGGATCGGCGTTCCTTCTGAAGCTCTCTTCTCTCTGGCAGTGAAGGAACATCCAGTCTGATGTACTTAAAAACTACAATCGTGGTTAAGTGCCCTCATTTTCTTCAGCACAGCTGTCTGATGGTAACTTCCCTATAAAACCTGTTTTCCACAGTCAAAAAAGTGATGATTACATCTTGCCTAGTATTCCATGCCCGAAACTGAAGAAGGACATCTCATCAATAACTGATGGGATCATTCCTAAAAGAAACTAAGGCATGTACCCAGGCTATTTTACCAGCATTTAAGACCATCAAAAGTGTATCACATGTTCAACAATTCAACCAAGTGCATTCTCCTTCCGCCCCATCATCATGCAGCATCAACTAGAAGTGCCAGCAATCGCTCTGATGCTGGTTTACCAAACACTAACTGTAGCAAAACTTTTAAAGATTAATAAATTATGAGGTTACCTAAACACATCTGTAATGTGCCCACTGTTACGTGTGATTCTTAAACTGCTAACAAATCAATGCCCTGACTGAAGGTCTGAGCCTGCCACCTGCACATCTCTCACCCCAACTCAGAGTAAACACTTACACCATTCTGGCATGAAAGAACCCACACCCCAGCTTATTTTTCCCTGCTATAGCCAGAAATACAGTGTCCTTGGGACATTCACCACACTATTCACCCCTTCCCTCGACATCTTGGCAAGCTTTTTTAAGGAGTTACCTCAGCTTGAAGGATCATGAAACTGTTGTCGCTGTTACAGCAATATTTTCAGACAAAATTTGCCATGGAAATAGTGAGTATGCGTCAAGCCATGAAGCAATTCCAGGAGATTGTAACGCTCGGTTGTTCATTGAGCAGTTAGTTGCATGCATTGAAGAAATGGTTCTCTTGTTCAAGCTCGAGAGACAAGATTCCTGACCACAACCCTTGCTACATAACACAAAACCCCAAAACAAAAGAGTGATTCAAGAAAAACATGCCCTGACAAGAATGGCAGAGGTTTGGACTCCCGAAGAACTATTCTTTTCTTAAGATACAAATGTCTTTTAGGCACAAACTTAACCTATTTAGAGCTTCACAGAGATTTCTTTTTCTTTAGTTATGGAAAAGTGAATAAAAGCCTACAGTATGACTTCCAACTTCATCAGCTCACCCTGGCACATTAATTCTGGCACTGAAGACAGGAACCAAGGTACAAGGTGAATATA